AACAATCGTGTTCGATAACGATCACTCGTCGTCGCCGACAAGTGATCCATGACAGATTTGGGAGGCATCCATGCCTTCTTCTCACAAGCGAGACGCAAGACATTGCGTTCCCTCTCTTCCTGCGACGTGCCGACAGAAGTACTGGCACCTCGCTGTGAAGTGGTGTCCATAGGAGAACCGACACCACTATTAGCGCCCGAGTCTCGCGACCTCGAGCGCCTTCGCTTCGGCGATGGTTCATCTGATTCATCAGATGAACCAAAGATGCTGCGACGCAAAGCATCGCTCATGCCACGCTTGGCAGGCGGCTTAGATTCAATCGCCGTCGATACGGATCCGTCATCCGTATCAGGAGAGTATGAGACACCGAGCTCGTACTCTGTGAAGACACGAGTGTCTTCATGACCAGCGCCTGCATCACCAAGTGACACAGGCTGGGTCGCTTCAGCAACCGATGAGACATCAGTTGCTGTTGTTTCTGCTTCGGCGTCCGCACAGAGACGTGCAGACGCGCTCTCGGCGGCCTTGCTCGCGCATCGCATGGGCTTGTTTACCATGCGATGAAATGTTGGAAAGTGGACGCGGACCAACAAGTGCAAACCCTGTCCCAAATGATTTGGGACGAGTATCCATTTAGTCAATCAGTCACTAAAGTGACTTATGGTTAAGGGGGGTGGGTGATGTAACGGGGTGAACCGTTACATAACAATTTATAAGATTCTGAGAATATAACTCTGATATTTTTAAGAATATAACTATCAGAGTTATATTCTCAGAATATTGTCATAAGGACAAATATTCTGTAGCACTTACAAGTAGTTCCTAATTGGTTGATATAGGCCATTATATCAACCAACGAAGACGCGCCACGACAGACGCACGCAATGAGTGGTGAGCAGATAACTGATTTACACATTTGTATTTAGACATTGTTAGATGAAGATAAATAGTGATTTATTGCAGACATTAACTATTATAAATACAGTTCTACTTTTTACTCTAACCAAGTACTCGCTTCTTCTTACCGTCTTCCTCTGCACGTACGAGTGTACGTGAAGTTACGAGGCACCGCCTTATTCTGTCATCAGAATAAGTAGCTTGTACTGTCACCAGTACAAGCTTCAGGGTGCCCCGTTACACCGTATGAGTCGAACATTCAATATTGATAAACTTGCTTGTTTGAAGGAACTAAAAGAATCAGACTTGAAAAGTCTCCCAGCTTACACGGCAATAGTGGCTACAAAAAATCAAAAGCGCATATTGCGTGAGAATATCTTACCGCACGCTATACGATACAACTCGATCGATCATTTGGGTATCTTCACCCTTTACGAGGGATAAACGCATAAGCTACGCTAGTAAGATGCATTTGCATCTCCCCACCTCCCTTTATGTAATCAAACACCTCTCAAAATATTCAAAAAGCGAGTAGTTTACTCGATTGGCAATTTACAATGGCGAGATACAGCCTCCTCTTTGCAGCATCAAGAATGCGCGCTAATGACGTAAAAGGTGTAATACACCGTGTAAGTACGCACGAAGTCCATCGGTTGGACCTGAAGTACGCCGATGTCGTATGTCAACGCGAACGCACATCATAATAATATCCTAAGTTGATGCTACAACCGTTATCATACCCACATTCGTATTCCGCCACTGTGATTGTGTCGTTTCGATTTCGGGACAAGGCTACAATGATCGTTTTTAAGCGGGATTTGTACTTGTCTAGGGCGACGGCTTCTTATTTATCGTATCATTACTATCGTTGTTACCTTAACGGATACTTGTTACTGCAGGTGGAATCAGCTTCTGATGCTTACCGAATCAGAAGGTATAAATAACTTCAATAACCTTTGAATAAAGAATATCAAAATAGTGCTGGAAAAACCTTACGATCCTCTCAGTGAATCTTGTCTTCGATACGTTCAGAAATATAATTGATATAATTTAAATTCATAATCATGCAGCTTCCTTTGCAGACAAACCAACTCGTGATTTATCGTATTCTATGCTGCCTTAATCTCTTTGGACCACGTTTGACCTCTCCGTTTCCATAGCAGTAGTTGAGACAGGAGACATAGCAAACTTTTCGTATGATCTTGACCAAGGCAAAAATGGTAACAGCTGGATCTCGGCTCATGCTGCTACCGACCAGCGTCCCACTCTCGGCACCAAATTGACCGCACAGTTGATACCAGTTTCTACCAGCTATACACTAACCGTAATTATCAACAGGGGGTGTAGATTATTGAACTGGCCGGACTTCGATCTCTATGACGTGCAAAGAAGCAGTATCAGTTGGAATGATACACTGTGAACAAAGCGTATGACTATAGTTCATAAATAAACAGCCCGTATAAAATAAGAGATGCGTATCTCGCACGTCTGGATGCACACTAAAATTGTGTCAGGAGGCTGTAGGTAAAATACCTTGTCAGCAGTCAAAAGGTCAGTATCCTCGATTTCTCGTTCTCCTTCGTTTTAGGTATAATGGCTCTAGAGTGGTGGGGTTATTTTGTGTGCTGTGGTCGACTGTTGATCAAGTCAATTAATTTACCTAACGTGTATTTTACGACATTCTATCCGGTTTAATCTTCGCCATGTTATGTAATCTTCATCCAGCGAAGAAGTGGACCAAACATATGAATCATTGTACGTGCGAGCACAAAGTAAATGTCCAGGTTAGAGTCAGAAGGTATCAACGCTGTTTTTCGTCCGAAGTACAACATAGAAGGATGTGCGCCGCGACAGCAGATCATACGGTAATCATCTCTGTACTAAATTACGCATGTTCATTTTCTTAGATGATCTTCTCTTGTTACGCTTTGAGGCGCAAATGAAATTTTGTGCATGCTATCATTTCTAAATTATATGGTAAGCTTTGCCTTAAGTTTACTGGCCACCAGAGCAGTTTCCAACTCTTATTATATTGAGACGGGGTTCATTTTTTCTCTCAAGGAACGTCTGCTTCAAATTTGTATTTGATGATGGCGACGACCAGTAGATGCATTCTAAGGCTCTGAAGAAATGGTCGTCATAGGGGTAACTCGATAGCTTAATGGTTTCCTGACAAAGAAGATGAGGACTACAGCGTGTTAATCACTGTGTCGAAATTTGAGCGGAAATTAATCACACGTTTAGTAAGGCTCAAGTCGTAATGTATCTACAAAAGTACCTTATTTTCCATGAAATGTTCGAATGAGTTTTGCTTGAGGCGATACATATGCGTTCACAGGAACATGGAACTATAGAAGTTTGCTGTAGAAATTGTTTTTTATTGTTGCCATCATTTTGATTGAGGCGCATGGTGAAAAAAAACACAGCATATTACTGTCAGAGAAAATCTGTTTTCGCTCACAAAACTGAAGGGCGGCTCAGGTTGAATCAGAAATCGTGCGAACACACTCATGCATGCCAATCATAAGTAATTGTCCGGCGCAAATTTTATATGAACGATATTTGGAGCTCCATAATGCAAGGAACGAGGACTCAGCTTTTCGTTATCGCATCAGGCACTTGAGCAAGGCAGGCAAATAAATTCTTAGCTTAGAATACTAAACACACAATGTGCGTGCTTCACAGAATCTTGTAGATGTAAGACGATGATGTTACTTGTTTTAGGTGTCTGCGTCATTTCAAGTCAGCAAAATCATGTTGAGTGGGTACTGGACCACTGAAAAATACATGGGAACAGAATGCGAACTCGGTCAATGTACGACCAGAATTCCGACATCATCCAAATAGATTGCCGATAGTGCGATGTCAAACTCAGATATATCATGCGGTATCTGAGGACTTTAGTGGTCAGTATGGACATTTACTTATGAACAAAAGTATATAGATACATGTACTTTTGCGCGTGAGAGAAATCGAGGTTTCTCGTATCCCGAAACTACTTAGCAATCCGATGTTAGAGGTGGTGGGTAGAAATTGCCGAGGTCAAAGTCTTGAGTAATAGCGCTTCATGTTGATGATATGTCGCCGCATGCCGACGTAATTGCTGCTGAAAAGATAATCATTGAAAAGAAAGGGGAACTTGGTCACCAAAAATCTATGGTGAAACCAGGGTAGTACGACCATATTGTTTCGGTCTGTTCAGTTGATTTGGCGACCAGTGTGATCACTTATAAAAAGTGGCTGCTAAGTTTTGTCTTAACGTATCAAAAGTTGTATTGCAACTGAGGCACCCATGCACATATAGTGGCGTAGAATACGGTGTCAGGCTGACATTTTCGAAGGAACAGCAGCGATTCTGTTCTTTCAAATACATATTTTCAGCATACTTAACATCCAAGAACTTCTGTTAGCAAGATTTTCAATAACCTGACTCTAGCAGACTCAATTGAGTGTAATTGTGTAAAATTGTTACGAAGTGGAAGACGAGAGGGACATAAAAGTGATGCTCTCACATGAAAATAGAGACAAATTAGTGGATGAGGGACGAGAACGGTTCTTCGATTGTTTCTCAATTTGTAATACGAGCTGGTGCAAGCGCTCGCTGCCCAAGTCTTACATGTACCATGGTCCAGTTGATGTATATACTTACATTCTAGCATGGATTTCACGTGTCCATACTTTATGCTAATTCTTGTTAGTTATGCTTTCGCATACCCACTATCATTAGTTTCTCGTAGGAACCATCTTGTTGAAGCTCCAAAGTTAACCGAATTGACGATTAATTAGTAAGCTATGATAAGAAATGTTAACCACTGCAGTATGTTTGGTTCAGCAGCAGATCTCCTGACACTAGATTTGAATTTACATCCGATCCTTGATTTCGCAGCTATCTCAGGATTTTGTTATCGATGCGACACAATGCCAACTCGTGTATTTTTATCGTCGTCATGCAGGTGCTTCTTTTGCAAAATGTTCTTCTGCGTTCTCATTTCAATTCGTTATTAGATCGGACTGAAACAGTCCACAGCAATTGCTATGATGACTGTGGATAGCTAGGACTTATCCTAGAGTAAATAAGTTCATCTCACGTAAGTAGGAAACCTTCAGCGGTGCAGTCTTGTGGGCTGCATGTTCGATTCTGTAACGGTACTGCCGTTGTCTTGAACTTCTTCCATCGTGCGTACCGCTACTTCTGGTCTTGTCGTAATAGCTGATACCATCTCCTGGTTCTTACGTGGCCTAATCGCTGAAGCTGATGCTACAGCAGCAGCAGTGCCGCCACTTCCTCGAATCATTTTCCTCGCTTGGCGGAGTAGGTATCCCTTTCGATTATGCTCCTTCTTCTCGGGATTTGGTGCCGGCAGTTCTTTTGGGAAAGCTACAAAAAAAATGAACATAGGAACGATAAAGTAAGAATCGGCAGCTCAAAAGCAAGTATCCGCGCTTACCTAGCTGTTTCGCCGGGGCAATGCTCGTTTTAGTTTTGCTGCTTGTCAACGAGTCCATAGAGCTTTCCTCTCGTCCTTCGCACTCACTCGTCTGAAGAGAAGGAGTACTACAAGGGATCTCAATTTCAGGCGTATGAAATGTCTCGAATTGGTCACATCCTGCTGCAGCTGGACGTTTATCTTCCTCCATATTTGCTTCACGCTCAAGAATAGTCACGGGGTACGGAGGCAAGAAAGGAGGACCGGTGCTCGAGTCTTCCCATGTTGGTGGCAACAATCTCGGCTTGCACGTCATCATAGCTGAAGCACAATATCCCTTTGAGCTATGGAGGAGCTCTGGAAACGCTCGAGTAGCTTTAGCATTAGCAGTAAGCGGAAAGCGGTTGTACCCGCACCACATCTCGGTTGCATCGGAACCTGCTGGACTAGGGTGCACTTGAACCAATCCAGAGGGCAGCATGACCACGTGGGGGTAGTATGGGCTCCAAATATCTGGATTCACTAAGCTGCTAGTGTCCGTTTTGTCCATTTTGTCTCCAGCTTCCGTGTCCATAGTAGCAGCTGCAGGAAGAGGCTTGAGCCCGTGCATGACAAAGCCCACGGTCTCCGGTCGTGGCCATCGCACTTCCCCCGTGTACGTGTGCAAGTAATAAATCAAATTACGCTGTCGATCGTGGAATAACTGCCAGCCAAAAGACGCGTCGTCACCAGGTGACGGGGTTTGATTGCTGTGTCATCACCAGAAAGATAAATAAAATAAATTAAAATTAACAATGATCAGAAATTATGATTAACAAAGTGCTGGTATATCGAAGCCATTCTCAGCATTTAGTGGCGATATTCAAGCATGAGTTGCGACGTGATCGTCTGCACTTGAAGAACCGAACTCACGTACTTGGATCGCGAGTGAGTCGACGCCATACTGGTCGAAATGCCGACGGCTGTCCACACAATGCGCGTGTGGGTTACGTTATTGTATAAAGTTATTGGATTAACTTGCCGTCTCTTCCTCGTCTTCTTATTTAAAAGGCAACTTGGTCAATGGCGTATCCGATGCAAAGTTGAAGTCCAAAAGTGTCTGTGGGAATTGTGTATATACTTGGAATAGAAGAGTAGGACGAAAAGACTGGGGCGGTCATATAATGTGACAAATGAGAATTGACGCAACCTGACGCGACGTTCTTAGCTTCTTTTTCGTTGTCTCTGAAGGTGATGATGGGTCGATCAGACTCGATTGACATGGTATCGAGTTCTTTCGCTACCTATGTCTATGCTTCACTAGTGACTGATTACTCCATGATCCAAGAGTTTCTCGTCAACGGAGGGGCTCTAAATCAACAAATCTATGAAATCGGGTCGGTGCTCTGACCACTGCACCAGGGGTTGACCCTATTTGTTAGTGCTACAAGGATTAAATGGCGGTCAAACTTGGCGGGAGATACCGTAATCTGCCTGATTGCTTCGGAAGTTCTTGCAATGCGACCTTGTAGTTTAGAAATGCCATCGGCACAAATGAGTGACGTTGTATTCTTTGTACTGATTTTGTTTCGTTGCATATTCATTACGTTTGTTGATGTGCCGCACACCGAATGACGGAAGTTCGTGACGTTCCATCTATCGCGACCAATTGGGCCCTTAAATCCCAAAACTTAGTCGTACTTTATGACAAAAAAAATAGATCACTCACAAATCCCAGTACCACAGCCAAAGCCATGACGCTTCAGCATCATTTGAACCCCGCCGAGTCCATCAACATCACACATGCAAACTAAATGTAGCCACTTTGCAAACAACCCACATCAAGCCATACTCAAAATCTTCAGCCGCCACCAAGCTAGGTGATGCCAAAAGTGCACGAGCGACTCGCTGTGCTCAGTCTAAATGTACGTAATACGTACATCTTCTGATCCATCGACTCGTCTTCCTTCCTTCGCGTGACAGTAAATTGAAGACCGATTAGCTCCCGCAACGCGCACTAGATACAAACGTCTGTGTCCCTACACAGAGTTTTAACTATTGTGATATGTGATACTACTTCCTTCTTGCCGCTCCCTGTAGATCTTCTGTCGTCCAGAAGGAATCCACAGCGGCCAATGGCTCACCAGGACCGGAGACTACAAAGATCTGCGCGTGGCGCTCCTGCTCCGAAAGATCGCGGCATTTGACGTCGTGATCCTCCAAGAAATGTTCGAGGCAGGGACGCGGCAGGCCCAATTCGTCCAAAAGGCCTTTGAATTGGGCTTTGGCTATCACTGTGGCTCTGTGTGGCCACAGCTACTGAACCCTCAACTTATTGATGGGGGACTGCTCATTCTCAGTCGGTACCCGATCGTTGATCGGGACCAACTTGTGTACTCGCAAGGCTCTGGTAGTGACGGGATATGTGCCAAGGGCGTGCTCTACGCTCGCATCCAGTTATCACCCGAGCTTTCCGATTCCCTGCACGTGTTTACTACCCACACTCAAGCAGGAGACAGGACCAAGGAGTACAATATTCGTCTGGCTCAGCTGCAGGAGATGCACGGATTTGTTGCAAGGAAACTGAGCAAGGACCCGAATGTACCGGTGCTCATATCAGGCGACTTTAATCTGGATGCGCGACATGACCTTGTACATGATATCCAAACGGGATCTGTGCGGAGCACGCGCTGCCGTGAGAGTCGTGTGTACCAACAACTTGTTGCCGATTTCGAGCGTGTCGTGTTCGAGGCAAGGCTAAAAGCTGCCGGGAAAACAAGTGAGGAGGCTTCAGATAGCACATCGTCCGAGCCGTTGATCATCGACCTCATGAAGCGATGCGACACGACTAAGCTGGGCGATGAGCTGCACCCGATCACTAATGGTGATGGGCACTCGTCACTTGTGCACAAAACGGACCCTCTGTCACTTGACAAGGACGGCAAGTGTATCGACTACATGTTTTTTGTGCCGGGAACTTGTGCTCAGACAGCAGTTGCAGCTTCTGCAGTGGCTAGCACCGCTTCTTACGGTCGCAGTACGAATTCCGCCGGCAAGGGCAGCGAAAGCCACGGCAATGGCGACCCCGTAGCGATACCTCGCGTTCGATTGACTCTAGAGGAGAGTGCGACAATGGTGGACCATTGCGCCGTGGCAGAGCTTGAAGAAGACGGTGAGGGCAATGTTTTGCTTCAGCAGCCACGCCCGTTACCAATTACGCACCTGTCCGATCATTATGGACTGCGAGCTTTGTTCACTTTTCAGCGTCCCGATGGTCAATCTGTTTACAGCAACGAGCTGCTTTCGTCGGTGTTACAGCTGCACTTTCCGCAGCGTGTCTTTGCTCAACGTCCCCAACATCTTTGGAAAGTGAAGTTAGCGCTCACGCTTTTCGCACTCGTAGCTGCTGCAGGAGGCGTCACTCTTTTGATCATACACACGACGCTTGAGATTGTATTCAGCTGAGCTCGAGACGATTGAAGTCAAGGTTCAGGGAGCTACTATCGCATGGCATGCACGTAAGTCAACACCAATGCACAATTTTTTCTTTATTTGTTTGTCTTTTACCAACACTACGTGCTCTAGCGCAGACAAGTGATCCACCGTCTTCTTTCTATTCCATAGTGGCTACAGACGTGCACTGCCTTCGGCAGCAGCAGTGCAGTGCGGACATTCACTAGAAGGTAAAAGCCTTCTCGAAGTACGCAATAAGGTGCTGAGCGACCGCGAACGAGAACACGAGCTTGGGCCCCACAACAGACAGCTTGGGAACCAGGCCCTTAAATAGAGCACTAGGACCTTCAGTCTTGAGCAGGTTGCGGATGATCGTCATCCCGCCCTCCGGCGAGTCAAATGGGCGCGACTGGATGCGTGTTTTGATCACATCCAGCGGCTGAGCCACTGCATTTCCAGCACACAAACACAGGCATACGCAGCACAGAAGTCAGCATCGGCCATCCTTGTTTCTCACACGTAGCAAGACAGCAAGCAAGTACAACCAGAGCACATGACGTACCAATAATGCTCGCCGATGCCCCCGAGATAGAGGAGACAAAGTTTTGAAAGAACGTGGCGTTGCTGTAGTCCTCGAGCTGAAAAATGTACTCTTTCGCGACAGCTGAACCTCCAAAGAGTGCAAAGGACCCGGGCGCGTTACGTGCAGCAGTCCACGCAGCTCCACGGTAGAGAGCAAAGCCTTCCGTCTTGAAAATATGCCCCACTCCTTTGCCAGCAATCGCTGCAGGGTTCGTCTGGGCTCGAATCTTGAGCACATCAAGTGGCAATAGAGCGATCTCACCCACGCCAATGAGGCTGCCAGCGGACGCGTGCATCATCGTCTTGGCATTGCGGTCCCCGAACGTGTGTCGGAAGAAAGCTGCGTGGTTTGTAGCCATGTAGTCGTTGACCACGGGCTGGCCCCCGAACTTGTAGATGCGCTGCGAGACTTTGTAGCCAGCAGCAAAGCCTAGACCTGGAAACAAGGAGCGGTAGCGGGCAAGCAGGGGCTTGTCATAGGCGTCCCGAAAGACGACGTTGGAAAACCCAGTAAGCCCGTGGATCTAGCAGTAGAAGTAGTAAACAGTAGCAACAATAACAATAATAATTGAGACAAGGGGAGAGAGAGTGAGACGGTTGTTGACGATTGCATGAGCAGCTCCGTTGTAATCGTGAGACGGGGCAGACTAAACGTACTGGCTCTTTGTTGGTCATTAAACGCTTGGCTATAGTGTCGACAGGGTGGAAGATCATGAGCTCGCATAGACCCGAGCACGTGGATCCGAGCAGACGCGCCGATACGATCGCGCTTGTGCTCGATGGCTTGGAATCACTTGGCAGCGAGACGACCATTGGTTTGACGATGGGTATTGATTGGAAATGGATACAAGGAAAAGTGAGAGAGAGAGTCAGGAAGTGAGTGGGTGGGTGGGTACGCGGGTTGAGGTATCGCTGTGGGTACACATAATTAGGCATGTTGAAGTAGAAATTGGCTACTGCACCCGTCGCGTGGAAATGTTTGGTGGTGCAGACTGAGGGATCCGTATACTCTATCTCGACGGGCACAGTAGGCGTTGAAGATGAAATGTGGAGCAAATGCACAAAAGACATGATATCTGGTCCTTTACTGCTTACCAATTTTAGTCCATTGATGCGATGCAAGTCGAAGCGAGGTGCGATGTCTTCAATTTTTGACTAAATGCAAGCAGCTGGCTGTCGGACATGGCGAGCGATTTAATGCAAGAATTTGCATCCAGTTACTCGTATCATCTTCTGCATACAGCCGTATGATGCAGCTCTCTCTGAGTGAGTTGGGTAACCATGACTTTGTCTTGTTTGAAGTTGTCAAGGATAAAGAATGGAAACACACAAATTTACGGAGTGTCGGAGGTGCGAGACTTTCGCTACATCGGAGCATCGAGCAGTTGCTCCTTAGCCCCCTGTTCGTCCTTGCTCAGTTTTAGCCGATTGTGTGCGGGTATTGGTGCGTCTGTGTGGTTTACACTCTCTCCGCGGCCGCAACTAGTGACCTGATCAAAAAGTGACACGAATGATGCATATCTACCAGAGTTTCATTTTGGGCGCACACGCCCATGCTTACGATTTATATGGTCATGGACGCGACCGAAAATTGTTGGGTGGGCGTGGGTGGATGCGACGTCGCGAGCTTGTATTATTCTGAACCATGTTTTATTTTATCTTCACTTATTCCGGTGTAAGGGGCTTATTTGTACAATATAAATCTGGTGAAAATGTGGGCGAAAGAATTTGGGTGGACATGGGTGGGTGCACGCGAATACGAAATATAAACGGGTGAGCGTGGTTGGGCTCTGACCATCCAAGACCAAGATTTCAAGCCAATGGGTGGGTGCGGTAAGCTTCGATTCGAAACTCTGATATCTGCCAATGGAGAGGGGACAAGCTACGTCGCACTCAGTACGTCGAGTAAGGTACACTTTCGCTATTTACAGTCACACTGACACGCATAAAGTAGGTTTTCCAACACGGCTTTACCTTGCGCATAGTCACTAATAGCTATACCTTTCGGACTCGAAATTAATTACGCAATTTTCGGATTCATGTGTCAGTCGAATGTAATGTGCTTCACACTTTTATTTTCCTCTTATGGTACTGATTTTGAAGCTGATACCGGCTACGAGAAGCTCGTCTCAGACCAGTACTGATATCGATATTCACTTGGTATCCCGACGAGGCAGTCCCAACTTTAGTGGCTTCAAATCAGACATCCCCGGGATTTTCCTCATTCAGCTTTGCTAGCACGCGACTGAGCCATCTGCGGTTCGAATGATCGATCTCCTTCGAGCACGACACTGAAGGCGTCCATCATTCGCTGCGTCCTACTAAATAGAGAGGCGGGCCGCACGTTTGCACACGTGTTCAATCCCTGTATTAAATTTGGACATGCCTCATGACGACGGACGATAACTTGACTCAATTTAAAACCTATGCAAACGCACCTCGAAATTCGTTCTCTCACTACAGCTGGCAGGCCGATCGTTTTCTGCTAGCGTCATCTGTTTTTCTCTTCTCACGATCACGTGCTTGCTGTAGTTGACTGACTATCCACAAGCACCTTGAGGATTTTTTCAGCACAACTGCCCACAGTGTAGTCCTTTTGCGTGATCAAGTCCCCATCGATCATTTAGTTGTTTGTTCAAGCTCCAGAACATCATGCTTACACTAGAGGATCGAGTGTATCTGTACTCACTTAGTCTGGACTCTACAAGGAGACAAGATCTTCTTCTGCTTTAACTTGTCACAAGCGTGACGCCGTCGACAAATATCCACGCGCCACCTTTTTCCTCCCCGTATACTACTCACTCGCCCATGCGGGTGACCGATCCGGCTTGTAATCCTCAGCCCAACTTGAACTTTCGTCGTACGAGGATGAAGTCTAGGTCTGGTCGGCAAAAGCTTCCCGAGATGGTGAAGTGGTCAGGACACGAGTCGTTTTCTGCTCAAGCGGTAGTGTCCCACAGACCAACGTGCTAAGACGCGTGTGACTCGCACATTTTCATTTCTCGATTAGCATCTAAGCACGTACGTGCTGCATCTCGCTCCTCCGATGCTCTCACCGGGCAAGCTCTTGTCTACTGTAGCAGTCGCACTTCTCGTCCTCGGTAGCGTGGCCGCTGCGGACACGCCAACGTCTCCGACTTCTTCTTTGCGCCTGAGCGATCTCACAACTAAAGACGACCAGTCCGAGGCTGCAAATAGGGACGCTCAAGCTGACGATGAACGATTATGGCCCGTGATCTATGCTCATGTGATTGCGCGTCCATACATCGATAACCTCGCCAAGGATCCGCAGCACCCCGAGCCGCCGAAACTGTCGGAAGAGAAAAAACAGGCTCAGCAACAACTGCTGCTGCTCAGCGGGAAGCGTCCAGACACGCATTTCGAGACGTGGCTGCGGTACCTTTCAGAAGACGAGGACAAGCAAAAAGCTGTGTTTTCGAAGTGGGTCAACGTCGGGGTGACTCCTAATGTACTTGCCAAGCTGCTCCATCGAGCTGGCAAACACCATCGTCATCACGACCCCACTGGGACGGTAGTACAAAGCTACAAGGCGTTTTACGAAGAGTTCCAGGCGAACACCAATCGTCGCTGGGTCGAGTAGGCTAGCATGCTTTAAAACACGACACGATGTTTTAGGCCATGTGCTTTCTTATCTTTTTACTGTATCAGAGAAGTTTTGCTACAGACCTCCTCTTCACACGTTCAAACGCTAGTTATGAGAAGCTCTCACCCGACCTCTTGCGTACGTACGAAAAGCGGTACTACTGTCTGCTACCTGGAGGCGCGCACCATGCGCAAGTTTTACTAGCACAAGTACTTACAGTCGATGTTATTGCTCGATTTGGTCCAGACCTCGCGACTGTGTCACTAGCTAGAACTTCTTCTCCACAAACGCCTGAGACCACAGAGATCCTGCTCTGATAGCCTGGACATCCCTAATGATGGCGGCGGGTGACTTTGCCACCGCTTGAATACCGCTCGAAGACCAATCTGTACAGTCTTTGAAGGAGACGGTCGTAACATTTTCTTTGGCCATGTCTTGCTTCGAAGACGTTGAGTTACGTCGAATAAACACGTGGTCATTGCCCGAGCGTGGCATCAATGAGTCTGTAGCTACGGGGACCGCAACTGTGCCTCATCGTCAATTGTTGAAGGGGCTTTCGTACTGTTGGAAGTCCGAAAGACACTCTACTCTTAAACTCAGCTGCGCTCCTGAACAGTTCGAAGTATACGTCGATCCAGGCGGCATCGCTGCACCACACGCCGCACGCGTTCGAAAACTTTGTCAAGGAATTCAAATGCGTACAAAGCTAACGCAAATGGCCCGGCATTTGTTTACCATCTAAAGTTACTACTGCCTTTGCCACAACAGGATCATGGCTGGTAAATCAGCTTGAACCTTTGCAAGAAAGCACTGGAGCAAGAGCGGGATCCTATCTCGGTGAAGGACTGCAGACACTGTCGAGCTATAGCGGATCCTAAAAAAACAAGCAACTCGCTTTATAAACAAGTGGATGATTGCCTACAAGCACCAGAACGGCCAATCGAACCATGGAATACGTTGTAGTCTGCTTAGATAGAAATAACAAGATGATTCAAAAAGAAATTGAAACTGATCTAACTTAGAGACTTGATCCAGTAGCCGGGTGAAGTACACAAGTACGAGCGTGATCGACATGAATATTAGCAATTACGCCAGAATTAGCTTTTGCAGAACGACAATGGTGGCAACAATATGAACAGCGATACGACAGTATATGAGAATTAGTCAGCCTGGGAGACATGGTCGCCCAAGGAGTGGTCGCTGCCGATCGCAATTCCACCCACACTTGTTTAGCTATCCACTTTATTTAAGCGAGTCTCGTGATTTTAAGGACCCCCTCGAACTATTTGTAAAGGTTCAGTCTGGACAAGACCTAACAATGAGCTTGAAGAAGCGCTAATTCTCTAGCGACAAATTACGTCTTGTCGTGTGTTTACAGCGTGTCAGACTGAACGGCCAAGGCGGTGTATTTTTTGTAAATACTGGAAGTCGAGTAAGTGCTTATGCCCTATACGATATCGGTGTGCTGCTGTTCTAAACTACATCATCTTCTCTTCGCTGGCTTCGTCCGCTCGGCTTGGCTCGGCTCTTTGGTCATCACGGGGATCACTTTGCAGAGGGCACGTGGAATCGGATATCCAGTCCGGGGTGCAGACAGGGCGCTGAAAGTCGCAGGAATCGCCGGGGAGCAGACCTACTACCCCTGATGAGCCGCTGACGCACCTGGACTAGGCCGAACTTGATCACGTTTTAGGCAAGTTCGCTTCGTGGGGCTCGAAAGTCAAGCTAGGCGACCAGGCTGACTACTCAAAGGATGAAGTAGAATAGTTGGTACTAGGTGGGGGGTGACAAGAACCGCTGTTGCCGTACCCTTCACCTCGGGGTGTCTGGGTCATTGTCTTCCTTTCGGTTTGCACGCAGCGGCAACAGGGCCTCCCCTTTTAATCGGGGCCACACGATACATAGCAGACTTCCCACCTAGGATAAGGTAGCCTGTCGCCCGACTCTTTGGACGCCTTCGTCGCTTGGCCGCTACTGCCCGAAGGCGCAAATTGGGAAGTGGCCAAGGCAGTGTATTCGGACGTCATGCAGGACCGCAGCTTGCTATTTACGAAAGCTGTACTCATGTCTCTCCTGTTCTGTCGACCGTCCAGTACAACGCAACATACCTCATTCACACCACCTTGCAGACATCTTGGTAACTAACACTTTTGGACGTAAACCGAGTGTTTGTGTCCATCTGGATTATGCTCATGTCAGCATCTGCATACTTAAAGGTTTTAGGAATCACCACACAGTACTGTGATTGGTGAATCTATCACGAGGTTTTACTCTGTCCAGTAGTGCACCCAAGTATTTGCCGATCGATTCTTGATCTTCTAAACCACATTCGCAGTCCAGATTTGTGACAAACCTAAACTTGAATGATTTTTTCTTTGACGCACAAAGAATACCATCGACGTAAATAAGCACCAGTGCAAAATCACCGTTTCTGTTGTACACGTACAACATGGTTCGGAGCCACTGCGTATCGATCCCTAGCATAGGGGCCACTTGTGAATTTCTGAATTCCACTCGCGACCAGACTGTTTCTGTCCGTGTAATACCTTGTCTATTTACAAAGTAAACCTGGCCTTTTTGTCCAAGGATACCCTTCGAGCCCATTCAGATACAGCGTGATTGACAATCAGCATTCAAGTAAGCCGTAGTCACGTCCCTTTATACATTTGTAAATGACGCTTAGTACAGGTTGCAATAGAGAATCTGAAAGTAACCCTTCTTGCAATCAGATCAGGTCCTCTTGATAGTCGATACGTTGTCGTTGTTTGTCATCGCGTGCTATCAGGCGAGCTCTACATCGAGCCACGTATACTAAGTGATCTGTTTTGAGATCGTTCACCCACATCGTATGAATAGGACATTGTCCTTCGGAAATATCAGCAGCTAGAACATACATGGCACACCTTTGTCCTTGGGAACCGTCATTTCGTTATCCATAGCAGCTTTCCACTCATGTGAAACTCTTGACTTGACTGCTTCCTTGTAGGATCGTGGTATCCTTAACTCAGCAGAGTGGGTACCAACCGTGCCTCGACTGTTTTGCATATACCGCTTTGAGAACCATGCAAACGTCATACTCATATATATATTGAGGGGTTCGTCGTTCGTGTTTCTTGCGGAGGCCTGGTCTTCGCTTAGGAATTTCCAACTCCGCACGTTTCACATCTCCGTCCGAGCGTTTGCACTATGATGATAAATTGAGTTCTCGAGGTCTTCTATGCCCGATCGTCTAACCTGACAGTATTTTTTAGGACATCGCACGGAGCAGGAACTAGCTATTGGTTCTGTTCGTCATCACATTGGGTGATGTCTTTAGTCTCATCACTTGGATCAAACAAAACATCACAATTTCCTTCCACACTTCCAATTGTATCGTCGTCAGCATCATACACGTTTGGAATGCCCGAGACATAATTAGGCTCACTGAGCTCATTATCATGTTCTTGGTCAGATTCATCACGTATTTTCTCGTGCTGTTCATAACTGTTACGCGTAGAACGCTCAATACTTCTTTCCACCTGCGTCGAGTCTTGTGCATCGCCAGCATTGATCACGGTATCACCATCCGTCACGCTTATTAAGTTTCGTACTTCTTTGTCGAAGTAGTCTTGGTCATATTTCGACGAATCATTGTCGTCAGCATGACCGTCGTCACCCCCCCCCCACTGACCCCTTTCCTGGAGCAGTTAATCTGTAGCACAGTCATACCCATTGGCCGACTCGACACTTTTCATGCTTACGATGCGTTTCAAAGTGTCACTATCGTCCAATTTGCTTTGCTGTTCCGCCACTGTTCACGATGACATCACTTTCAAAGAGCTCTGAACGGATTCGGTATCATATTCAGCAACTTGTGACGTACATCAATCTAACATGCGTTTCCAATGCAATCTTTCGCTTCTAGTAATTCACTGAAAGTGTGTAGCCACTCATATTAGCCTTGATGCTGAAAAATGGATCTATACTTGATGTGCTCATTAATCTTAATGTCATAGACAAAGCCGGTTTTGTGCTCCGTTGGAATGTAGACATTACAACCGACGACATCCTCCCGATAGCCAAGGAAGAATTCAATTCGACTATTAAAAAGGATCTCTTTCTCTTTGACTGTGGCGTATAAAAAATATACCTGTGAATTAAACGAACGCGTGTGTAGAGGTCTGGCTGTTCTGCAAGCATCATCTCACAAGGTGTTCTTCCTAAACCTTTGTCAAACACTCGATTTTTATCGTGAACTGAAGTTTCCCGCGCTGTACTTGGAATGATGTTGGAAATCCGGCCACACTCATCATTGTCTTCACCATGTTGATAATTGTTAGACGTGTACTCTCCATCAGATTCAGCTACGACGCACTGAGGCCAAACTTGGTACGGCCAATTACTGTTTTCCGGTACCATTGTTCTACACTTCCATTGCAAAATTACCATCCTTTGTCAGCGAGCACTTGTTTCACGTGGCTTATGTCACTGCAACTTTTCTATTGACTTATAGTTACATCCGTAGTATGCGGTGCTTTCTGGAATTTTGCCCAAGCGATGTACTCTTTCATTCGCACGTTCATCATGCTCTCCTCTTTTGACTTGAAGTGGTATGTTGTCACAATCAAGAGCATCCATCCATTATGGCTAAAATATATGAATACTTTGAACTGTTCCTTGAGCCGGGAAAAACTATGCGAATAATATATCTTTAAAAAATTTCAACGCACAATCTAGATTCAATCTAAACGAATTGCGTCGCCGTTTGCCAATATGACAGTAGTGCAGTTAATCCTGCCTCGTCGTTTCAACACTATATATCTCGCCATACCCCTATCAACCATCAATCGGATATACTCAGGCCATGTGTGACCTCGACGTTCATGCCGTACACTCACGCCTTCGACTCTATCAGTAATAGCAAAATCTGCGTAGCGAATAATTTTGTCGGAAGGTTTATCACATTTAGGTTGCCCGTACCCGTATCAACATTATCGTGTGTATTTAAGTGCCAAAGT